GCCTCCCCCGCGCTTCCTACCCCGCCCCGCCCCGGTCCACCCCACCCCCCCCCGCCGCCGCGCTCCCATGCTCCAGCGGCGCCGTCCTACGGGGCGCCCCGCGCGTCAGGCTGTGGCGCGGATTGACGTGCCACGCGCCATTCCGCCTCATTCATGCCGGCCCCGCGGAGTCGGAAATGGATGTGCTTGCCAAGGAATCCACGGTGGATTCAAAATTAAAGAAGGGGATTTCGGTCCATTTAAATAATTGTTTTGCGATGATACTATCACTGATTTTACTTGAAATGATTCGAATTTTTACGTGATCAATAAAATAATACCAATAATATATGAATTAATGAATAATGAGAGATCAGTGTTTAGAATTTAACAATAAATAAATGAATACGAATTTCCCATAACACAGCAAGAAATAAATGCTCAAACCATTAATTTTCTAGATATTGTCTTGTGTTATAGGAAGTGAAACATTATGCGCTTTCATTTTCAGGACTTTATAGGTATTTCCCACAGTTTCTTAACGAATCCTTAATTGCTCTGATCGGCAATTTCTTACCCTCTGAGTCTTACAGCCTCAACTGTTTCTCGCAGCCGAGTTGTAACGCAAGTATACAAGCGCGGATCGGTTACGCAATTAATTCCGAGATCTCCATCCAAGTTGGAAATGTTTTCTTAATCCGATACCTCTCGTCTGCGCGGTCTCGGTGCTCCATTTTGATCAATAATCCGGGCGGAAGGAGCCGAGAGCGCGGGCGGAGCGAGGAGGACGGCGCGGCGGGCGGGAGCGGAGCAGGAGCGGGGCGGGAGCGGGGCGGGGGGCGGAGGCTACGGAGGGGGAAGCGCCGACCGAGGAGGAGCGAGATGATGGGGTGCTGCAGGAAGCGGACATCGCACCCGCCGCCGCAGCGGTAACGGCGTCGCGGCAAAAACGCGCGTTAGGGTCGCCTTCCATTACGACGAGAGCGGAGAGTTGCGCGGAGGCTTTCAACCGGAGACGCTCTGTCCCCGAGTGTCTCCGCGGGGGACCCACTTGATCAGGAATATGAGTGCCTTCTTCTAATTTTGGGGGAACTCTACGGAAGAAAAACCTCTCTCTATATCGCAAAGGGACGATAAAACCAAATCTTTAAATGTGTTAGTATTAGTAACGTTGCACAAATAAATTACGTCAGTGAAACGATTCTGGAAACCTATTTCAAAACTTGTGAAATTATTGTATTTCTTGAAGAAAAATACCTTTGAAATAAAAAAAAATTAAAACGCTTAGTCAACACCACACAAAAACAATACAGTAATATTAATTAATACGAATGTCTCTAAGAAATTTTATGAACAACATATAAAAAGTTCCAGTGCTATTGTATTGTGAGGTTTGAAGACAATTTTATAGCCTGGGATTATTGATCCAAAGTACTCTTCCCAGAGCGGAAACTCCATTCGCGAGTTGAGAATTGAAAAATCTCAGCAGTGCTCGGTTCGATGCTACATGTGGTCGTGTTTCTACTAGCGATATTCTCGGAGCGTACGGGCTGCGGAGTGCAGGCGCCGCACGAGTCCGGGCGCCACGCCGCGAACGCCGCTGCTAAGATTGCCCGACCGGGGCTGCAAGGCCGTGCGGGGGCGGCGCGGAGTGGAGGCGGGAGCGCCATCGCCCCCGCCCCCGCCGCCGAGACAGAGAGAGAGGCAGAGAGGGGGAGGAGTAGAAGCGGAGCGGGGGTGGAAGAAACGAGCCGACTCGCTCGCGCGTCTCCCCCTACACTCCGCTCGCCGCGCCGTCCCCGCTCCCGTCTCCATCTCCGTCCCCGCCGCCCCGCGATCCCCACCTGCCCCCGCCGCTGCCTGCCGCACCCTCCCGTAGCCGCGGCTGCCGCCGCCGCCGCCCGACATTTCATTCGGTCGTCGCCGTTTCGCTCGTTTGGGTTTCTGGAACCACAAAATGGCGGTCTGGTAGGCCGACTCGTGCGGCTGCAGATAGAGGCGAGACGGAGACACTGCAAAGGAGAGCGAGAGAAAGAGCGAGACGGAGCATCGCACGCACACCGAAGCACCGCGCGCTCACACCGAAGCGGCGAGGGCGGCGCGGGGCGCGAGCGGTAACGGCGGCGAAGGCGGGAGGAGAAGAGAAGGCAATAACACATGCCCGCGCGCCTTCTCGCGGTCGCCCGCGCCGACTGCGGGGAGACGCGACGGGGACGGCGCGCCCGAGCGCGAATAAAAATACGCTCCCGCAGCGTATAAAGCTCGCAGGAACAACGTTTTGAAGATGGGGGTGATAAATGGACGGCGCGCCCGGGCCCTTCGCGGCTGCCGATCGCGGCGAAGTGACGCGCGTTACGGACATTTCTTCTCGGGGTTGAAGGAGCGAATTTGAGCTGCGGTCGGCATCCAGCGCCAGGCAATATTGTCGATTTTATTCTTGTAATAGAATCGATGAATTTCAACGATAGATTTGGACGATTAACGACTGATGAATTAATTTTGTAGTAATGAACGTACTTTTCTAGGCGAGAATGCTTATAATGCGCAATATATCATAGAAAATGAATTATTTTTTATGGAAAAGATCTTTATGTCGCAATTGTTATCCAGGATGAGAAATCAGTAACGAATTCGGGAATACGGGAGCAAGGTGTCCAGAGACGGAAGTTGTGTGGTCCTCGCTCGGAGAACCTCTAATTTGCTTTCGATTTCCAAACAATCCAAATTAAATCGAAACCTGTTCCGGGAGCAATTTGGTCACGAGCCGCGGAGCGGGTCCGAGGACGGCGACGGCGCGGCGTCGGGGCGGGGGCGGTGGCGACGGTGAGGCGGGCGACCTTATTAGCTGGGCCGGCCCGCACCGCGGCGCGGCGGCGTGAGCAGGGGCGGGGATGAGGAGGAAGCGGCGGGAGAATCGGCGGTGCTGTGGGTCGCGCTTGGACACACATCGGTCGGCGGCACGGTGGGGTAGGGCGGGCGGGTGGGGGAGCGGAGGGCAGAGTGGCCGGAGGGGACAAGGGAGAGGCCCCCAAATCACGATCTCGATGGCCCGCCCGCGCGCGCTCACGCGGCATGCGCGGAATACGTGATGTTCGCGCGGAACTTCCGGCAGTTGCAGCCTCGTTACCTGCGGTCCGCCCAGGCAACTTTCCCCGGGCGGGCTGGGCCGTGCTTCATACTGACGAGGAGAGGAATCATTTTACCAATCTATGTATTCCGTACAATTAAAAAGGTGCAATCCATTTTGGTTGAGTTTATTTCATTACATTTGTGAATATGAAACACGCATGCCCTCTCTAAAATCGCAATGAACGTGCAAAAAATTATATTTGAACCAATTACTTCGCATTAAAAACTTTTCCATTGTATTCTACAATAATAATTTTGGTTTATAATAAATATATTTAGCATTAAATAATTTTTGTCATTCAATGTGCATTGGGGATATGAGCATGAAGTGGATTTTATTCAAATTCTTCCAGTTCACGGCATAAAGAAGAGCACACACAGTTGAAGGTCGTCGTCTTGGAAAAATTGATTTTTCCCTTCAGCGATGATATCTATGAAGCGGAAATACCAAGTGACCCAGTGTCACCCTCGCCATACGCCGTCCCCTGGAGAGATGACCTTTCGGTGCGGAGATGATGAAATCGCTGCAAATCAGAGCCAGGAAATTGGTTGTTTCTGGCGGGCAGGGGTGGCGCGGCGTCGGCGGCGGGCCCGTCCGCCGCCTCGACATTATCGCACCGCCACCAGGCGGACGTAGGAGGGGCCATTTGGGTAAAGGCTGCGATGGGACGATAGAGCTGACGCGCGAGTCGGCGAGCGGGTGAGCGTGCGCGCGCGCGCGGGTGTGCGAGTGAGCGTAAGGGGCAGAGGGGAGGGAGATCCCCAGGGGTAGATACGCGCTGTTCGAACAAGTGTCCTCGGGGGACGCAGGGGGCGCGCCCGCCGCGCCGCCTCCTCGACACCCGCCGCGCCGACATCTGCGCTCGCGCCCTCTCGCGCGCCCCGCCCCCTCCCCTCTCTCGCGCTGCGTCGGGCCGCGCTTTTAATAAGCGTGCTCGCGCGTTCACTTGTTGGCAGAATTTGCCGTAATGGACATGCGCCTTGGGAGGCGCGGCGCGCGAGGGACACTGAGGGAGGGAGAGAGAGGGGAGGGAGCCGGGGGCGTCCGCCGATGATTAAGTGCTTGCCGCATTGTCCTCCCGGCAAAGGGCAAGGGCTGATTAAATAAATCGAGCAGCAGATCAAGGACCCCGCGGGGGCGGGCCGGGGCGGGCCCGCGCGCCGCCCGGTAGGGGAGCCGTGCATGCTCTTTTTCGCGCCGGTGGCAGGTCGAGTGTGTGTAACGCGGGCCGAGTGCCTTTTGAGAGGCCGAGTGCAGCTGCTGGTGAATAAATGAACTGCTGTGAAAGATGCGTACGTTCATCCTCGTGTAACAATCCAATCACGAAGTGGTAATGTAATTGGTGTTAAGTGCTTCACTTCCATATTACTTTGATTGACCGGACGATTTTGCTAAAGAAGGAATTGTCATAATTCATTCCAATTGTTGTTATATCTTTTCACTAATTGGTAATGTCCGACACTCAGATGACGTTATGTTGTTAGAAATATTTGAGATAATAATGTTATTAAAAATATTTAAAACTTAACTTTCAAGTAAACTGTAAGGTCTTTGATTTTCTGATTCTCTCCTCTCTTGAGTATGAACGCAAGAAAATTATAATGTTATCGCGAAGTGCAGTATTTTCAGATGGTCTCCCTCTTCAGCCTGTTTTGAGACAAACCTTGAGCCATTGCGTTACGAAAATTCTAAAGAAACGGACGGTAATCCTACCTCTGCATCTCTCCACTTTTCTTTTTATCTCTTCCCTCTCAGCCAAACAGCAACGACTTTCAAATTACGTCTCAGGTGCACTCGGGAACGCTAAATATTCGAGGAAAACATTCACACATTCTCATGCTTCCATCTGCAAACACTGCCCGAGTCACTTGTTGTCTCGTGCACGAGGTACTCACCGGTTGATGGAGGAGACGGACGGGACGTTGTCCTGCGAGCAGATCCCTTCCGCCAGGAGCCTGTCGCGGATCTCCCATGCGAACATGGTGGGGTTCTCGCGCTTGTAGTTAGCGATGGCGTCCACGACGAGCGGCGTCGCCACTTTGGGTTTGCTGCCGCCGATGACGCCCGCTTTGAAGCTGCCCGTCTCATAGTACCTGAGAAAAGAGACAAAATCACTTCGCGTTATTCTCTCTGTTACTATTTTCTGTCTGAAGACATACAATTTTATATTATATTATTATATTATTATATTATTATATTATTATATTATTATATTATTATATTATTATATTAGTATATTAGTATATTAGTATATTAGTATATTAGTATATTATTATAATATTATATTAGTATATTATCTGTAGATATATTCAAAAATATTATTTATTCAGAAATATAATATGGATCTGCATAGTTAGCGCTTTAAATAATCACGGTAGATTTTATGTGCTTGGAAACCTCCCTTTCTCGTTACAAAGTATAAATTTATATCAAAATTCAATTTTCCAGATTTGGTTCCTTTGTAGACACTTTATTTGTTTTTAAGATAATTTACAAGTTTACAATATGTCTGTCGGAAGCTACTTAATATATTATGGTGAATACGTAATATGAAATGCCCCCTTCATTTCGTGTTTCCAAATTAAAGATTGAGAATAAAATTGAAATTCTCACTTGCTTTGAAAATTCAGTTTTTTAACAAACTAAAAAAATATTTTAATGACTGTTTATTTGAAGAACCAGGGCACACGTTCTCGTTAATTGAGAATTGAACGCAAAATGTAATTGGATTGCTTTTCACCATTTAGAATAACAATTAGAGCGAAAGAAACTTATTTTACTCCTTGGACATCCGCTTGTAAGGGCGATACGTGCGAGGATAATCAATGTGGCCGGGCGGAGAGTATACTCGACTCGACGGCACACAATTACGTCAGACTAGGTTTTTTGCTCGTCGATGAACTTCCTGTTTCCCTTCAGCTTCTCACGTGAACACCGCGCGCCTATTCAAGAGGCATTCTTCCGCCAATCACAGGCCAGCGAACGCCATGTTGGAGCCATATTCGGCGGAAAGAGAAACAGAACCCGAGTAATTGCTGGAGGTCGTCCCAGAGAAGCGACTGTTTGCAAAACAGATGTCGCAGTGTCTTCTCCGTTGACCGTTTTCCATCGCAAACTCTGCCGCTCTAACGAACAACTTTCCTGTAATCACTTGTGAAACGATTTCACTACTACGAAAATGCAGAAACCGTTATTTATGTTATTCCAGGTTTACAGCACGTAAGTTGTGGATGTAGATTTACATGACAATCACTTGAAATAGCCAACAGCCTGAGTAATGTACACATCACCTGTCAAACTGTGTAAGCCATTGTTAGAAGTACTGACTTATTGCTGTACCTATTATATTCCACTTATTTCTTCATCACCGTCAACAGTTTTCGCTGTGGCAAAATATCATAATCTTTACCGATAATTTCTCTGCACCTCCCCTGTCAGCGCTTTGTGCTTCGCCGAGTCCCCACGAGCCTCGGACGGACGGTCGGCGGTGGGGCGGCGGCGGCGGGACCAAAGGAGCCGGCAGGAATCTGCCTAATTATTTCGTGACGACAAGAGCAGATACATAGAGGCGGTCGCCCGCGATAAAAAAGAGAGGTGGCGAACGCGAAGAAACGGCGACTCGGGCGCGCGACTGAGACGACCAACATTGTTTGAGCAGCTGACGACACGAAGGAGCGAGACGGCGAGAGAGGCGTGCGCGGC